CTACTATGTATAAGGTGTATTGCTTTAGATTTATGTCAACTTGGAATTTCATAGTAATCCTTCACTTCTATGAAGTCTCGGTCCACTCCAGGCAGCCTCAGCTAGGTAGAATACAATTATAGAAGTGGATGGAAGTAAGCAATTGCTCTGAGCAAATGGAATCATTGTTAGGAGACCTATCTCTTAATTCTTTGTGCTTACACTCTTGTTACCGTGTCCAGTGTTTGCCTGCTTTTGTATCACTCAGCTTCTGGGGATTCTCGTGTTCATTGTTGCTTATGACCCAGTAATGTTCCATTACGTCTGTCCATCACGGTTTGTTGGCCATCCCCCAATTTGTGAACCCCTACTTTGTTCCAATTCTTTGCCACCTCAAAAAGGGCTTCTCGTGAAGATTTTCACAATAAAGAGACCATTTGTTCTGTTGGGCCTCCTTGGGGCATATTTGCCAGACAGACGACAAGCCTCTGTCGCTGGCTTTCTCTGGGTCCGGCATTGTGCTAAGGGCTGAGGATACAAAGAAAGGCAAAACCATCATGCCTGCTTTGGAGCCATCTCATCTCTTAAAGAAGGAGGCAGTGTGCAGATTATCTACACACAGGAGAGAGAGATAGATGGATGTGTCCATGTACGTATGTGTACACACAGTAATATAAGGCACTAACTAGTGTGGAGTGGGGGAGATAAGGAAAAGCTTTTTGCAGAAGATGAAATTTGAGGTGAATCTTGACGGAAGCCAAGGGGCAGAGGAAAGAGGGGAGACCATTTTAGGAATAAAGTGCAGCCAGTGAGAAGGCCCAGAACTGGGAGGAGGATGTTTGAGCAAGTATCAGTACGTAAGTGTGAAGTCTTCTGGTAGGAGGGCACAAGTTGGGATGGAGAGAAAAATTGGGACAAGCACTAAACTCATTGGATCTCTGCATCAGGGGGTTATGAGCATTTGAGTCACCTTCTCAGTCAGCCTTTTTAACCATGAATGGTGAGAATTCACAGCTCCACCAACGTCTTTCCATAGTTCTTCCACATTGTCTCTCCCATTTTTTTGTCTTTGCCAGGTGAAAGGCAAATTCTTTGAGTTTTGATCTGCACTTCTCCTAGTCTTCTGATTCAACCAAACTTAATAAAGTTGTCTGTAAATTATTTGGATTTCCCCTAGAGCAAAATATGAGAGTAGGATCCTAGATGAAGGCACACTGACAGCAGAGAGGAAAAATGAATTTTTAAAAACAGAAACAGTAACTACAGAATCATAATACCCTGGAGATACTGAACGTAACTGCTAGTCTAAAATGACATTACAATATAATTAATGTTTTTAATGATGACTGAGGCAGTTTTGTTTTTTAATTTAGTGCCTGTATCACAGTTGTTTCCAATGTTTGTGACTTTTTTTTTTTTAATGAGGCAATGGGGCTAAGTGACTTGGCCAGGGTCCCACAACTAGTGAGTGTTATGCGTCTGAGGCCGGATTTGAACTCAGGCCCTCCTGAAGAGCTCTATCCACTGCGCCACCCAGCTGCCCCTACAACTTTTTTTTTGCTTGCTTTGAGACCGAGTTCTGCCTGGTTTGCACAGGCTGGAAATGGAACGGCGGTGTTAAGCCCACAACTTATCAGCATAAGAGCTTTGGGCCTAGCTGAGGTAGCCCAGTCTTATCTACCCTCTACCCACCACTCCTGTAGTGGTGCCAGACTTCATGCAGATGCTCAGTTGATTCCCCAGCCTCAGTCTCCCCAAGAATGAAGATTATAGGCCTTGCTAGAACACTGTTTTAAGAAAGCAAGGAAAGAGAATACATTAGAAAACTTCCATCAGTAATTGTTAAAATAAAACGTTTTGCATTAGAGTAAGGTAGAGGTATAAGGGAACAAGCATTTATTAATCACTTACTATGTGCACTTAGAAATATGATCTCATTTGCTTCTCACAACCACCAAGGGATGTAGGCACTATTATTATCCCCATTTAATAGTTGAGGAAACTGAGGCAGATGGGGAGGTTAAATGACTTGCCTGGGGTCACATTGCCTAAGTGTCTGAGGCCAAATTTGAACTCGGTTCTTAGGCTCAGTGCTAACCACTGTACCACCTAGCTGCCCCAGATCACATTTCAGTTATTTGAAAAATTCACTTAATGGAATACTATTCATTCCTGGTGATACCAACAAATAGGTATTACTTTATAAAGAATGATGTTCAGTAGCCTAAAGATCTGTTGTTTTGGAGCATAGAAGACCAGGGAGAATTTAGACTGGACAGTAACTTGGGGTGCTTCTCTTCCATCTCCTGCCGGTCCCCTCAGCTGGCAGGGCCCAGGGAGCCTGGCTGGAGCTTGTTTGTACGGGGCTCTTGTACACTCTTTCCCATCAGACTGAGCTCCGAGAGAGCAGGCACTGGCCTTTGCCTTTTTCCTGGCATCCTCAGTGCATAGTAGCACAGCGTCTGGCACCTAATAGGCACTTAACCAATGCTTATTAACTATCACGTTTTAAAGGCCTATAGAAAACTGGTAATGAAGTGTGTATGATGAGATCTGCAGGATCTTCATCCGCATTCACTGGATGCAAGTTTCTGTCTGTGCGTTAAGATTCTAAATTTTATTTGTTCCTTTTCCTAGTCTTAATAAGTAATCATTTCCTGTTATTTCTTTCTAGCTGACCCCTTAGTGGGAAGTATCGCCACTCAGTACATGACCAACAGAGCAGAACACGACAGAATGGCCAGGCAGTGGACCAAGAGATATGCGACATAAATTGGGTTTTCACCAAATTTACATTATTTGTCTGTGATGGAAAGAGCTGCTTATGATTTTGAAAAGGTGGGGGGAGGGTGGGAGCTGATAAAGAGTAGGGTATTTCTATAACAGATTTTATTCAGTCTTTTATTTCCTAAGATTTTGTTGTTGTAACTTAAGGTATCTTGCTACAGTAGACAGTTAGAATTGGTAATAGCATCTTTTAAGACTGTCATTAGTTCTGCAATATTAGCTCAAATATAGTACAAAGAAGAATGTACACTTAGACATTTGGGTTCTGTTGCTTGCAATATGTAAAAGATTAAAAACAGCTTAATTTTGTACAGGTACACATGGCATTTATGTAAAGTCCTTCCAAGATTACCCTTTTTTTTTTTCTTTTCTTCTTTTTTTTTTTGTAAAAAGATGTTGGTTTTTCCCCCCATGAGAGGGAACATTGATATTTAACAATTGCTTTTTAGAGACTGTCATCTCGTGATATATAATATGGGCAAGTAGATATATGGCACCATATAGAAAATGAGTAGTTAATGTATTTTATTTTATATGCCAATCTATTTTAGTGTGAAAAGATTAGAGGCTTTAATCAGGACTTACAGAAACCTGTAGTGAAATACCTTAAGCTGTTTAAGTGTAAGGCGTGGAATAGGAGTCACTCAGTGGATTGGTTATATGTTGTGGGCTACTTCAGTCTGCCTTTGTTACTGTGCTAATAAAACGCTATTAAAAAACAAGGCTGCAACCCTTGTGCCTGGTAACTTTCTTTGTCTCTTGGTGGAGGTGCTAAGGTCACATCAGCCTTTCACTCGTTCTAAGCGGTATTACGAAAGAAGTAATGTTAACTTTATCAATAACAATGAAGTCAGGGCATGGTTTGAAATAGAAGCTTCATTAATGAATTAAGTCAGCATCTGGGTCAGCTTTTCTAAACTGCAGATCATGTGAATATTCTGACCCCGCCATTCTGCTGCGAATTTAGGGTTTAGAATTCCACAAGAGTGATTGGCTTACAAAATTAACTTTACCACCACAATGTTGAAGTGAATTATAATTCAGCCTTCAAGCCCTAAAGCAGAGGTTCCCAAACTTATTTGGCCTGCCGCCCCTTTAAAAAAAAAAATTACTCATTGCCCCCCAGAAATGTACTTTCGTTTAACCCTTTAGTGGTTATGTTTTTGTTTTTTTATTTTGCATCATTTCAAACTACTATTGCCCCCTGGATCATTCCAGCTCCCCCCAGGGAGCCATACTGCCCACTGTGGAAACTTATGCCCTAAAGCAATCTTTTGTTGCCATGATCCCCCACACGCCGTATTTTATGTCCAAAGTACAGCTGGGTGGAAAAGTTGAAAATATTTTTTAAGTCTTAATTTTACTCTTTACTCATACAATCTACCTCACCCACAGTAATTAGGCCTTCTCTCCCATCCACCCAAGTTACTAATTTCTTCAGCTGCTAGTATCGCCCACCACCCATCCTCCTGGGTAACTTAAGAGGCAGCTCACAGAGAACAGAAGGCAAGAAGGTAGCCCCAGGATAAAAGCAACCTTGATTCTCCACTTTAATACCATGGAATGGTATTATTGAATGGTATTATTAATGGTAGCCCTCAAGACCTGGGCTAGAATATCAGAGTCAGATGTTTTCTAATATATTATTACTACTTCTCAATACAAATGGGATGGAATAAATTATTTTCAGAAGATAAAAGAAGAGAGTAAGTAACCCATTCTCTAGTAATGCGGTAGCTTCCTCTAAGGTTAAAGCCACAATGCCAGAACACCCTGGCCCTTGTGGGCCACAAGTCGTGCGTGCCTGTGTGTGTTGCGGCCTAGAGGTGCCTTATCCCAGCTCTGCCTCACGCCCAAGCAGCCAAAATATTGCCAATGGTAAGACCAAGAGCTGACCGCAGTTGGGATTGTAGAGATGACCTCAAGCTGGAGGTGAAGGTGACAAAACGGACTCTGAGAAGGTCAAAAAGCTACTTGAGCAGGTCGTCCACTCCCAAACCTAGCGTTGCTTCCATTACCCCACACTAGCTTAAGATTCAAAAAAAACGTGAAAGGTTAAGTTTTTTGAACGAGAGCATTAAGGCACTTTATATAATGATCACTTCAAGTCCTTGAGTTAATCATGTTACTGCAGTATTATAAAATGTTCTCGATGAGAAGCGGGGGGAATCCCAGTCACCTTAAGGCACCTTTGTTTAGGTGAAAGGGGAAAATCAAAAGCCTACATGGCTGCATTTAGGTCACCCACATTTTATTTTCATAGTTTTTAACACAAGTGCGTTATCATTTTTAAAAAACACTGCTCTGAAATGAATACACAAATAGTATTTACAGCACATATGATGATTTCGCATTAGAAGAGTAGGCGATCTCCCTTCCTCATTCTCTCCCCTCCCCTCCAACCCAACTTTGTAAATTATAACTTAAAGATATAAAGTGCTTTTAGAGACCTGGTTGGGCCAGTTTCCTAAGGGAAAAAAGGTGGATGCTCTAGGCAACAGCTTATGATTGTAAATCCATTCACTTTTCACAAAAGTCTAGAATGAGGCCGGATGTTTTCCCAGACGCCATTTTACTGTGAGACTGGCTAATTCTCAGCCGTGATATTGCCTTTGTTCTTCCTTCCGGGCAAGGGGAAAGCGGACTTGCTCTGGGGCTGGGTGAGCTTGCTGGCTAAGACGATGAATGGTTCAATGAGAGTTTTCCGATCAGTCACGGTCACCTCCCACAGCCTCACTTTCTCACTCCTTGCCCACTGCTGGGCCATGTCAGCATCCACTTGCCTCTGCTCAGACAAATCAGATTTGTTTCCCAAGATCACAATTACTATCTGAAAGAAAAATGAAGTTAAAGATGCTTAAAATTTGCACCACGACATCCCCCAGTGCAAAACCGAGGAGTGTTTTTGTCAAGCGCCCAGGGACGCAGAAACACGAAGCATGAGGGCCCCCAACAAGGATCTCCTTGCTCCTGCCTTCCAGAGGTCAAACAGCTACTCTGGGCAAGGCCGCCACCTCCTCCTGAACCCTAAGAAGAAAGGTAAGGTTTGAGGGGGGAATCACCTGCAGTTGTGCCCAATGTCTGACAAGAGCATGCCTCCAGGCAAAGGGAACTTCTCACAGCCTCCAAATCATGCTGCTTTCCACACATAACCCATTAGTGTCTGGAGGTAACTTAGTTACAGGTACTAATAAAAGATGAGAAGAACAAAGAGTAATTTAAATCCATGGTCACAGCCAACTATTGATTATCCCTGGTAAGGGAATGGAGTTGTCACACAGAGAATCAAAATATTCACATCTGACTGAAATACGACAAATTTTAGTATGGATATGCCTAATGTATGGGGAATTAATAATGAATTCAAAACAAAAGTATTCTTTAAAGGCTCCAGCTCAATAGGCCATGAAGACATCCTGTGTCTTTGCTTTGCCCCACTCGCAAGGATGCACTTCTCCTTCCTTTCCTGGCACACAGGTAGTAACACTGAGAAAAGTCAATAGAGGTAACCATAGGAGAAGAGTTTTAAGTGGAGAAGGTGGTAAGGTCACTTAAAAAAAGAAAAAGGTGAGAGCGCAATTTGTCATTGTTATTTGCACCTTAAAACCGAGTTCACTGTACTTCTCAAAACACTCATTTTAGGCTACAACTTCAAACTTTTCTAAGCAATATTTTATTACAGGGGTTTACTACAGCAAAAATGGTGAACACTTGCTATACCTTAAATTCCTCAATGCTGGCAGCAGTGAAGAAAATGAAGACAAGCATGGAATGTAATCGATATGATTTTTTAAAGAATTTCAAACTGTTTAGAAGTCAGGAAGCAAACCAAAAATGGCTGAAAAGTCTTGGTTATTTTCAATAGTTCAATAGTATACTTCAGAAAAAGCAAGAATTGCCAAAGAATCTACCTAATTCCCAAAAAGATGGGGCAAGAAAAATGGAATTCTGTCTTCTAAAGTGTGTAAATTTCATTCCACTTTTAATCTCCTACCTCTTCCCTACATTGCTACTTCCTCAGAATGTACTTTTTCTGAGGAATGGAGGAAGATCATTCCAACTGTCTTCTCTCTTGTGACCTGGAGGCCACGTGTAGCCCTCTAGGTCCTCAAGTGCGGCCCTTTAACTGAATCCAAACTTCACAGAACAGTTACCCTTAATAAAAGGATTTGTTCTGAAAAACTTGAACTCAGTCAAAAGGCAGCACCCAGGGACCTAGAGGACTACATGTGGGCTCCAGGACACAGGTTCCCCATCCCTGCTCCAAAGCCTGCCATACATAGCTCTAAAGCAACAATATGTTAGGCTTCAAGTAAGCCAACGTCTGTGTCCTGGTATAGCTGGACATATATGTATCTCTACACACACACACACACACACACACAATACATTTGCTGAGTGTGTTACAGTAAGGATCCTTTCACATAGGCATTGGCCTAGATGGCCTCCGAGATGAGTATATTTATTCTAATGAAAACAGTAAAGAAGTCCCTAGCTTAGTGTGGATAAAAACAGTTGCTCCAGCCCTTGTGACATCTTAAAAGGAGTTGTTCTACATGGAACACCAGAAAAAATAAAGTTTTGGTCTCTCAACTAAATAAAGAACGAAGGCAGAAAATCCAGCTAGCTGGTGAGTGAGACCACGCGGCCTGTGCCAGCTTTTATAATCTAATAAGAAAAACAGATTTTTATTTTCATGACAAGATTATAAATAATAGAATCTTTTAGAGTCCAGTTTTGTTTTACAAATCCCACCTACGATGTGGATTGAAAACACTCAGCCTTTCTAACAAAGCTGCTTACCTCTTTCTTATCCCTGAATTTATCTATTTCTTTCTTAATGCTCTCCACCTTCCGAAGGGATACAAGGTCATTCACCGCATAGACCAGCACAAACCCCTCAGCAAAAGAGAAGTAGTGCTTGGGCAGCTCCTCGCCTTCTTGCAGACCCTGCGTGTCATAGAGGCGCAGCTGCTCCCTCACCCCTCGATCGGTTTCCACTGATGCCACATACACGTCTTCCACCGTTTCACTGTCTTCTTTACCTGTTGTTTGATGGAAAACAGGCACTGCAAATCACTGCATTTTTCTTTTGCTGTGACATGTGATCGTTTGTAAAATATCCTACTCTCACTGTGGGGTGGAGGGGATGCAAAACTATGAGTGCAAATCCTACCAACTCGGAAAGGCTTCCAGTGTGGACCAGCCAAAGGACAACGGTCTCAAGTTCAGCCAAATTAAACAGCGCTACAAGGTCATGAAGGGTTTGACCACAGTGATTCCCGAAACCTGCCATGGTGATATGGAAGATTACAGTCTGTGCCAGGGGAGAGAGGCTGCATCCACACTGATGAACTCATGAATCTTTCTGATGCTGAAGAGCACACAAGCGTTCTTTTTAAATGCTCCCCCTCCAGTGTTGAGAGAAGCAATAAAAACCCTGGCAGTTCCTATCAGGATCACTACCACACACAAAAAATTAGTGTCATGATTGATGGGAACAATACAAAGAACTAAACTGGAATAAAGCTAAGTATTGAGAGTTAAAAGGAATGAAGTCGTAGCCACAGACAGCAGAAATGGATGGAAAAAAATAACCCCTTCACCAAACCCTTCTCTCCTCTCAGACGGTCACCACCTCCCCTCTGACCTCCCTCCGCCAGCCCTTCTCCACCGCCCTGCAATAAAAATGAATAAAAACCATTCAGTAACTCAGTCCTTCCCTCTGGATGTGCTGCGCCACCTCAGGGATGCTCCCTCTTCTCTCCCAGGCTTCCTCCCACCCATCTGACCCCTTCTTTCATGTCCTCTGCTGGCTTCGCATCCGCATCTTGGGAGCTACATGCGGGCATTTCTCAAGGTCTGTCCCAGGCCCTCTTCACTACACTCTTGCTGGGCAGCCTCAGCAGCACTCAGGGGCTGTCCTGTCACTGCTATGCAGATGTCTCTCTTCCTATCAGACTTAGTATGTCCCAAACTGAACTCATTTCCTCCCTGCTTTCCAAGCTCTTCCTTTTTCCCAACGTCCCTCTTTCTGCTGCTAGTACCACCATCCCTCCGGTCTCCCAGGTCTATAACCTCAATGCCAACCGGGCCTCCTTGCTCTCCTTAACTCCACATGCCCACGCAATGGCCAAATCTCATTTCTGCCTTCACAACATCACTCACAGCCAGCCTAAGTAGGCCCAGTCGAGATCTTCCTCACCACTTACGGGCATGACAGAAAATGCCCTCTCAGTGCTCACTGTACCTCAAGTCTCTCACCACTCCAGTCCACCCTACAATACTGCTGCCAACATAATCTTCCTCCACCAACCCCAGCGGCTTCCTGCTGCCCCTAGAAAACATAAACTCTTCTGGTTCGCTTTTAAAGCCCCACACACATGCTGAGCTGACCCCACCTCCACACATACTCTCTTTCTCTCTCGTCTCTCTCCCTCTCCCTCTCCCGCCAGTCCAGGCAGTCGGCCTTCTCTGTTCCTCACACATGATGTCCACCTCAAAATCCCTCCCTTCTTCTAAGTTCAAGCGTCATCATCTGCATCAAGTCTTCACGGCTCCCTCTCAACTCCTCATGGCTGCCCCCCTGGATTACCTTGTATTCAATGACTTTGTATATATTTGTATTTATTCATTTTGTATTTATGTGTCTCCCCAGGGGAATGCAAATAGCTTGAAAGGATTATTTCATCCTTTATCATTGTATCTTTAGCGCCTGGCACATAATAAATATGTCCTTAAATATGTGCTGGCTTACAAATTTCTTGTTCTGGGATGAATATCCGTTCTCAGGCTTAAATCCTCTTACTAATGAGCCTTCCTCACTGATCTCAACTCCCCCCAAAATTATGGGCTCTAGACCAAGTGTCTGCCCCCCCTCCATACTGACTAGAGTAGCAGTTAGTGCCTAAACAAGGTGTCAGGGAGGCCCTATAGCGACTTCAGTTATGACCCAAGTTGCAGATCCTGAAACTAATCAAGCTTTTTCTCAGTGACTCGAGCCTCTGTGGACACAACTTCTATTATTTTTATCCCAAATAACATGTTTTATGAAGGATTCTCAACTACCTTTACAAGTAATTCCCAGGTTCCACTAAAGAGACTGCTTAAAGGAAAGCCGCCTTACCAATAACGTGATTCCCATAAAGAAGCTGTTCCAAAATCGCCGTTTTCCCCACGGCCATCGATCCACAAACCACGACCTTGTAGCCTTTCCCCATCCTGTCTGACAAATTCTGCACAGAAAAAATGCATTTGTTTTAATTAAAGAACATTACAGAGAAGTGAAGAGAGAATATAAAGTCACCTAAAGTGTTATTTTGTTGAAGCTAAATTTAATAGTTTTACTTCAGAGTATATAGGAATGGTTGCCGCACTTATTCTAAAGAACTGCTAGTACAGTTCTGGATTAAGCTGAAAGCCTGTCTGCTCACCACAAATGCTTGGAAAATGTTTCCAAAGGGAATAAAAATTATAGCTCAAAACTGAAGAGCAGTCTGGCAAAAAAAAAAAAAAAAATAGCTGGTACTAGTCAACCCTCCTCCTGGTTCAGCTGGGCCACATAAGCCTGGGTCTAGAAAACAGCTCAGCGAGTTGAGCTAGAGGGAAGGGGGTGGGGAAGGTAAACGTACCTCCAGCTCTAACTCTCAGCAGCTACCTCAGGAAGGGGAAGGGGGGAGGGGGGCGCAGAAAATATCTTAACACAAGAATGGGGAATGAAGCAATCGCCACATTTCTCTCCGCCGCTGACCACTCACAATTCTCTTACTTGGGGATGAGTGGAAGGCTATGGGGAACAAAGCCACCACCCACTGCCCTTCCTTAGTTCGGCTAAAATCCTACCTTCTGCAAGAAGCATTTCCTGCCACCCTCTGTCGATTACCTCCCACTTACCCCTGGATGTTTTGTTTTTACAGTTGTTTGTTATCATCTCCCCCACGAGACCGTCTTTTGCCTTTCTCTGTATCCTCAGCGCTTAGCACAGTGCCTGACACATACATAGCAGATGCATCACTGACTCCTGGCTAAATCGAACAAGACAACTCCCCTGCTAACTAAAACACTGGAAAAGCCCAGGTGTCCGAATAAATATTCCAAGGAAGAGCAAAGCTAAGTCCATCTATTTTCATCTGTTTCCATCTTTGTGTACAACCTAAAAAACTCAGTTCCCTAAAGGGTCTATCATTTACATAGAAAAGTAGCATAGGTAACATCAACATTGGCTATTAGAAAATTAGGGTCGTTTTTCCCTCTAATTTTCTTGCTGTTTTCCATACAGCGTAGGCTAAACTCAGTGCTAAGGTTATGAGTTGACTTATGTTTGGGTGAGTCAATTAGTTTTTCTCTATTTCCCAATCATCTAAGCTTATCAATGAGGTGGAAGCATATGGTAAGAAAGTGTAGATAAATGAATACAAGTCAACAGACAAAAAAAAATTCCAAACCAAAATGTTACAGATCATTATTTTAATAAAGATTTTTCATCGTACTGCTTGAATTTAAATTTAGAAACTCAGAGGGAAAGGAAGAATGTTGCCACCAAAAAGACAAAATGATAATGTCCTTATTGGGAGATTTTACAATCTAAATTTCATTTCCTATTGTTATTTTATATCTCTCCCTCTAGTTTGTACACCGTCTAACTAAGTTTCATCCCCAGAAGTATCTATAAGTACTAACCTTTCTTCTCAGCCTTCTAAGAATTTTTTTAAAAAATGCCTGATGGCTAAACACTAGGTCTCTTAGAAGTTGGGAAGTAACCAGTCAGAAATACACATAGAACTTGACACTTACTAGCTGTGTGACCCTGGGGAAGTCACTTAACCCCAAGTACCTCACCAAAAAATGCAAAAAACAAACAAACAAACAAACAGAAATATACAAAGGGCTGTTTCTCCATGAAACAAAAACTGGGCCAGATTAACAATTCAACTCTTTTAAAAAGAAAATAATTTGGAGAAAACACTTTTTTCACCTTTCATTTTGTACACAGAGCCAAAGTTTTAAACATTCCCATTTCTAAATAGCTCTAATAAGCTTGCCAATGCTAAAAAAGTAAATTAGAAAAGGCCCAAAGGACATCACTTTGCTAGAACTAAAATCCACTGACAGTAAAAAATAATTCCCTTAATAGAAATTAATGCTAATGAAATAAATCATATCTACTAATCCCACTCTCACCTCCTCTAGCTAAAATGATCCAGATAGAACATGTTCAAAGGGGAAAAGAGGAGGGTGGAGAAAGGGGAAGTGGCTAATGAATCTTACTTTCCACTAAAGATAGATGTTTTTGAAGTTTTTTTTAATTTTAATTTTGTTAATCAATGATTCCATTTTGTGTTATGCTGAATTCACCTTTTTTTATTTTTGATATTGGTAGTCTGGTTTTCCTCTCTTTTTAAAAACAATACTTTTGTTTTCCCCCAGTTACACGTAAAGACAATTTTTAACATTCATTTAAAAAAAATTTTGAATTCTTAAGTTATTTTTAAAGCTAAAATTTTGTCGATGGAATAATTTAAAATGTAGTTATCTCACTATTAGAAGAATTTCCTCCTTGATTCCCTCTGTAAAAGGAAGACTTTAAAAAATATTAAATATGACATAGAGGACGCAAGTTTAACTTTTTTTTGGTGTTAACACCTCATTTGTTTGAAAGACACTTACCCAATCAGGCGGCCTCAATTATCTAGACTCTAGAATAGAGCCTGAATTTGGAAACAGCAAAAAATGCAGAGCAGCTCAAATGGCTATCATTAACCCCACGTACCCTAACCCTAACCCTAACCCTAATCGCTAACCCTAACCCCACGTACTTTCACTTTATAGCAGAGGTGCTCAGGATTTATTGAGTCCTGCTTCTACACAATTTCAATTAGTTTGGTTGTCCGGATTCCCAGACCACAGCAGATTAAAGGCAACAAAGGGGAGTATAACTGACTGCAAGAACTAGGAAAGCTGAGAGGCAGGAAATTCCAGCTTACAAAGTGGGAAAACTACAAGGCCTATAAAAAGCCAATTTCTATCCAAAGGCATTTTGATTATTTAAAATTTTGGTATCTGAAAGGGATTAAGTTGCTCAAAAGGAAAGGTGATATCACAATTGTTAATGACAATACATAAGAGGCAGGTTAGCCTAGAAGCCAAGAGTGGCTTTGAAGTCAGTCAGGCCTAGGTTCTAAGGGCAGCGCCATCACTTAATGTCTCCAAGACTTCAACTGCAGAATGGCCAAGATCGGCAGTGAGAGTTTCACCCCAATTGAGGCCCCTTCTGGCCCCACCCCACTCCAGTTCTTGGCCACTAAAAAAGGGCTGTTAGAAATATTTTTGTACATGTGGGTCCTTTTGTCTTTCCTGGATGGTTTTGGGCTACAGGCCTAGAGAACTGTGGCTACGTCAAAGTATAATAGAGTTTAGTGACTTTGGGGCATAATGACAAATTGCTTCCAAGACCGGCTGTACCCATTCAAAGTTCTAACAGAGCATCAATGCGCCTGTTCTGCTCCATCTCTTCTAACACGTCATTTTCCTTTTTTGCCACCTTTGCCGATACAATGGGTATAGGCCAAGATATAACTTCAGAACTGCTTTCATTTGCACTTCTCAAAACATTTGTGATTTGTAGTATTTTTTCCTACAGCTGGTGATAGCCTTCATTTCATCCTTGGAGAACTGCCTGTGCATATTATTTGACCACTGGGGAGAATGGCTCTAACTCTTCCACATCTCCATCAATTCCTTATAGATCTTAGAAATGAGATCTTTTAGAGAAATTAGCTGCACAGATTTTTTTTTTTCCCCAGTTAACTGTTTCCCTTTTAATTTTATCTATGCTGGTTTTATTTATGCAAACACTTTAAAATTTTATACAATAAAATTAAGATATATGAATATCTGGGAATACTATGCCATAAGAAACGTAAACAAGAAAAGTAAGCAAGAAAAGAGCAAAGAGAGCAAACTCGAGGGAACAATGACACAATAACACTGCAAAGACAACTTGCAAAGATTCAGGAACACCGATTAATACAAAGCTGGTCCATGATTCCATCAAATCCATCATGAAGCGTGCTTACGGATTCAAGATGCAAAATGAGACATCTGTTTTGGGATGCAGACCATGGAATGGTTTGCCTCTCTGTGCATAGATACAGATATAGCAATGGCTCTTTTTTTTTTTCCTCTTTTTAATTAGGAGTGGGAAGGAGAGAAAAATAAATACTTATTAATTGAAAAATTAAATTTTAAAAAGTAGTAAAAGCAAGTTCCTCGTTGGGAGTTCCCAGCAGAGGTGTCAAACTAAGCAGAAGTGGATGAAAATGTCACAGGGAAATGTTTAGCAAAATAAATCAAAATACAACATAATGTTCATTTGTGGTTTTCTTGTCAACATACAGCCTGCAGGAATCCCTTTCTCAGTTTGCTACTGTCTCCTCCTTGCCCCCCACAAAACCCCCTACAATAGCTATATTTAGCATTTATATACTTTAACGTTTGCGAAAAGTGATATTATATTATTAATATATTACTATATTATATTACCTAATTTGATACTAGTAATACCCCTGTGGAAAAGGCAGCATAAGTACTATTATTATCAGCATCCTATACAAAATACAATGAGTCTCACAAGGATCAGAGGGCTGATCCAGAGTGCCCCCAGTAAGGGAGAGTTACGGCCTCATGGAGAAGCAACTTGCTGGGCCATCAGAAGATCTGGGAATTTCTGGCTCTGCCACTTATTTATTTCCTGACTTTGGGGGAGCCACCCCCTTCCTGAGCCTGTTTTCTCAATGTACAGTGAGAGGCTCTCTCTCAGCTTTAAACCCCATCCTCTATGCTAAGCGGCAGGGCCAGGCCTGGAGCCCAGGAAGAGGCCGCAGGTTCCCCACCCCTACACCATCCCACGGAGCCAGGGCTCCATAAAGTAAAGCATCCAGGGGCAGGGTGACTGAGGAATTATGGAGAGAGTGCCAGTCACGCAACAAAGCGTCAAGGACACATTTTAAAAACAAAGGCAGAAACACATCCGGAAAGGAATATGGACAAGCATGGCCCAGCTGGCTCTACAGGTTACATTTAATACAGACTTTAGAAAGAACAAGCTATATGCGAGACCCTGTTTCATATCCAATCCTCTTTTTCTGTTCTTTGCATACAGAAATATTCATATTTGTTAAGATAATAAAAAATTCTTTTAAGTAACGTATTACTACCCAATGACCACAATCTGCCAAGTAAAAACGGTGAGATCTGAAAAAGCCACAGTTGAGGCTGATCTAAGTAACCAGACCCTGCTCCTCTGGATTACCAAACGTAACCGTGTAAAAGACTCCATTTCCTATGGATAATGACTTTAATACTCCAATTACAGGAAGCCACGCTCAGCGGTTAGCATAGTTCTTACAGACTTATACATCATTTTAAAATATTCATCTAACATGAAATCTTTAAAAACTTTTAAATTCTAAAATGCATCAAATGGGCATCTTATTCATAGAATCGCAGACTCCAGAGTTGGACTCAAGCCAGTTCTTTCACCAAAGAGGAACCTGAAGCCAGGAGGGGAGAATCGAATTGCCTAAGTTCATGCACGGTCACCATTTGAATCCACGCCCTTCGACTCCCACCTCATACCAGTAAAGACTGGCTGCGATGGTGGGGGAGAAGCCACACTTCACAGTCCCACGAACAAGGAATTTCCACAGTGGCTCAAGAACCCGTGGCCCCCAAAACCCCATCGAGGCAAACACAAACCACCCTGAGCACGGGATAGGCTTGGGGGGGGGACGCAATCTCCACCGCCGCTCTCCCTACCACGCGCGCTCCCTTTTCACACCCACACCCACCCCGTCCTCGCGTGACCGCGGGCACTGACGGCTCACGGGCAGGACTTCGGGCAAACAAATGAGCCAGCCGCGACCTCGGAACCGCGGGAGACTGCGTCTGCCTCCCAGACATTTGCCGTGCTTTCAACCCCACGGCCCGAGCTGGGGCAGGCTCCCGAAAGCCCGAGCTGTGCGCACGCAGCCCGGACCCAGGCCGGCTCGTCTACAGGGAGGGCCCGAGCCGAGGATCAGCGTCGTCCTAACCACGGGGCCGACTTTTATCCTTCTCACGTGAGCCTCCCAGCCACCTGCGGGGGGAGAGCTCTTTTTGTCCCCATTTCACGGATGGGGAAATTGAGGCAGAGGGGAAGGGACCTGCCCACGGTCGCTGCTGGAGTGTCCGAGGCCGAACTTGGACCTCAGGTCCTGCAGACACCAGGCCTGGCGCTGCTCTAGCCACTGACCTAAAGAACTAGACTCTCCCAAGGTCACGGGGAGTCAAGACGCGGAGGCGGGACTTGAACCCAGGACCGCGAGTTATGCGCTCCTCCGCAGGGGAAGGGGTTGCCCGATCCACGAGAGGGGTAGGTTTCTCAGGCAACAGGGAGGGCCGCGCCCCAGGGGGAGGAGGAGGGAAGAGAGCCCCTCAAGCGGGGAGGGGGGGTTGGACCCAGTACGTGCAACCCCGGGGAGTGGGGTGGGGGAGGAGGGTATAGGTGGAAGGGAAGGTGCGAGACGGTGGCCCGGCAGGGTCACGATTCAGTCAGAGGTCTTCGCAATCTCCCTTCCCGCCCCCGCCCCCCCTCCACCGCGTCCGCCCCAGGTGAGGATGGGAGTGAGACCGCCGCCGGCCCCAATTAGAGAAAGGCGTCCTCTTCCCTCCCCGTCTACAGGCCGAGGGCAGCAAGCTCAGCTCCCCGCGTTACCTTCCGAGAGGGGCCGAGCCAGGGAAGCCGCGCACGCGCCCTCGCGCCCCCTCGTCGGCGCAGGCCGTGCTCGCCTGCCCTTCCCCCGCCCCAGCAGGATCCGCGGGTTAGGCTCCTGACTGGCCCTTTGGAGCGGCGCCGAGCGTCCTCCAACCAGAAAGGGAACTGCAGAGCATGGGCGGGGCGGGACGCCCAGGGGAAGAGCAGCGTCCGCCGCAGGCTCTGCCATCCCCGACTCTGCCATCCCCGACTCCTCCCCTTGGTGTAGGCCGAGCCTCCGTCCCGTCCCCTCCAAGGCCGCCGGGATACTGGCGGGAAGGACTACAATTCCCAGGAGGCTGTGCGCCCGTCCAGTGCTTGAGCCGGGAAGAGGGTCTGTGGAGAGGAAGAGCCCATAAAGGATTGTGGGAAGGCGGCCTCTTTCTTTCCGGTCGGCGGCAGCCATCAGGCAGGTAGGGAGCGCCTGCTTCGTACGGACCATCCGCGCTTAATCTGCCCTTTGCTTTGGCCATCCGGGCCCGGGCCCCATGCGCCTAGGGGCCTCGGCGTGTGTGCCGCGCGATGCGGGCCTCGGCTGGGGCCCGGGGCAGCGGGAGCGGGGAGAGGCGGCCTCGGGCGAGGGGCAGGGGGGAAGCTGGGCCGGAGCAGGGGAGGTGACGCCGCCGGGCCGCCGACTCCCAGCCCTCGGCCAAAGCCGCCGCCGCCGGCCGGGCCTGGCAGACTTGCTCCGGAGGACGCGGTTCTGAGGCGAGCGCGCTCTCTTCCAGGCTAGGCGTAAGCCAGGATGGGGGCCTACAAATACATCCAGGAGCTATGGAGGAAGAAGCAGTCGGACGTCATGCGGTTCCTTCTGCGCGTGCGCTGCTGGCAGTACCGCCAGCTGTCCGCCCTGCACCGAGCCCCGCGGCCCACCAGACCCGACAAAGCCCGCCGGCTGGGGTACAAGGCCAAGCAAGGTAACGGCGTGGGGGGGACCCGGAAGGCTCGCGAAGCCCTCGTTGGGGGCAGTCTCACCTGCCCTTGCCTTGGCACGAATGTCGACAGCGCGCAGGCAGGGAGCATGGTACTTCTTAGCTTGGACCCCATGGAGTCCATGCATAGATTGCAGGCGAGGCTGAGCTTATTTCACTGCAATTATTTTCCTTCGTAATCCTAGTCCGCATGCGTTTGCCGCTAGAGCTCGAGAACTGCTGCTGTGTCATAATGGGGCATTGGGCTAAGAGGCGGCCCGGAGGCTCTGTCACTTGACCGCCTTGGGTGAACTCCCCCAAGCCTGTCTGTCCTCACGTGCAAAACTGTAATACCTACCCAGCCGGAAAGTCTTAGGCACGTGAAGGTGTTCATGCACTCAGAGAGTACATTTTGGTATAATTTGGCCTCTAATCTTTAACATAATTGACTGTTAGGGTTGAAGCATGTAAATCTTTTGGCGGGGGAGGTTTACAGGCAATTGGATTTGATTCTGTTTGTAGACAGAAAAAACTTGTGTTCGTTTTAGGTTATGTCATCTACCGTATTCGTGTTCGACGTGGTGGACGAAAGCGTCCAGTTCCCAAGGGTGCAACCTATGGTAAACCCGTGCATCATGGTGTGAATCAGCTGAAGTTTGCCAGGAGCCTTCAGTCTGTAGCAGAAGTAAGATTTTTTTTTCTTTTTAAATTGGTAGTTCTTTTAGAGATGAGAAACAATATGGTGTGATGGAATGATTCTGTTCAACTGAGGCAGAACACCTAGGCTCAGGTCTGTCTGAACCCTAGTATGAGCTGTGTGACCCCAAACTTAACCCTCTGTGAGCCTTAGAGGTTGTGACTTGCTTTTTTACAGGGCATTTTCAACAAGCTGAGAACTAAAATTGCCATTAAAATATTTTTCAAAAGAAATGCTGTGGAATTTGGGTGCTGAAGGATAGTATGTGGGTATCACTGGTTAGGCCAAAGGTGCTTAACCTAGGGCCAATGAATTGGATGAGGGGGAAAATTAAACCTTTATTTTCAGTAACCTCTTAATTTAAATTTAGCATTTCCTTCCATTAGAAATGTAGGCATTAACATTCTTAGAAGGGATCCACAGGCTTCACCAGACTGCTTGAGGGTGTTAAACGTGTCACAAAAAAGGTTGAGAAACCCATAGGTTTTCCAGAGAAAAAGCAAGTACCTAGTGGCTTCTTTCTGTTAATTATCAGTTCGTCCTGTATGTATCTTGTGCATCACTTGTCTCCTTAGACTAAGCTTGAGAGTAAGGACAGGGTTTTTGGTTTTGGTTTTTTGTTTTTTGCATCCCTAGTGCTTAGCACATGGCAAGCACATAGGGGATGCTTAATAGTGCTTATTGACTTGAGAAGAGATGAACTGTTATTCATGTTAAACTTTAACATCTATCTGACTAATTGGCATAAATGTTAGTATGAAAAGCTTATTAATGCATGATAAGGGCCGGTGGAACTTGAAGAGTTCAGTAAGTTAGCACCTAAGTTATTTATAAGCTCAGGAGTGGGAATCATTAAATATGACTCTTAATTTGAGACTTGAACAGAACTTTGCAAAAACAAAACTAACCTGACTGCAGAAATCTCTTAGAAATTATTTTGATGATACTTTGAAAAGCTTTAATGGCCAAAGAATTAATTCTGACCTTGCCATTAGATTACTCCATTAGGTTGTAAATTCCTGGAAGGCAGAAGCAGAAACTGTGTTTCTGGAGGCATTTAGTAAATATTTATCAATTATAGTTTGATTGCTGAGTTAAAAACATTATGCTCAAAAAAATTATTTTGCTTTAGATTGGGAAAGTTGGCTGTAATAACAGCAGGCATTTGTTCTAGGTCTCTATTATTTTTGTTATATTTATGGGATAAGTCCTTTATGCATCTTGTCGATTTTTTTGTACCAGACTTTGTGCTTGTGCTAAGCCCTGGAGATAACACAACAAATCAGTACTGCTCTCAAGGGACTTACTTTGAAAACCAGTTTAGAGGGAATCTGGGCCAGGAAAGGGATCTTTAAATTGTGGGAGAAGCTGGAAAAGTCAAATAACACACCCTTTGCCCTAGTAGCGTTGATTTAATTATTCCCACCTTAACCGGGGAGGGGGGAAGGCTGATGGCTAGAAAATAAGATTTAGGTGACCAGGGTCACTCACCTAATGATAGAAACCAAGTCATCAATAAAATAAGCTCAGCACTAGGCCAGGGTTAAGCTTTGGGTAAGTTTCATTGATACACTCAAAACAATCTCAGGCATTTTGTGACTTGAAGCCAGGTTTTCTAACTTGGGAACCTACAGACGGGATGGAGGAGATGGAGCTCTGCATCTGAGTCAGGAAGATCAGAATTCAAATCTGGACTCAGACATTTCCTTTCTGTGTGACCCACGGCAAGTCGTTTAATTTTCCCTTGCCTCAGTTTCCTTATCTGTAAAATGGGAATCATGATAGCACCTACTTCCCAGGGTTGCTGTGAGAATCAAATGAGATGTGGCATATCTAGTAAGCACATTGGATGATAAGCTTATTCTCCCTTGGTACTTTGCTTAATTTTTACTATTTTGTCATAAATTGGGAAGTCAAAGAGCACTTGAGTTATAGTTCAGTGACTCAGGAGTTGAAAGCAATGAGCATTTAAATGCTTTATGTTAGGTACTCTGCTGGAAGTCATGGTACAAAGGTAAAAGAAATATATCCCTTCTCTAGGACAGCCTCCTCCCCTAATGATGAATGGGACTGAGGTGTGCACTGAATCTAATCAGAGTAGATGGAAGTTCGATTCAGAGGGCATTCAGTAGCTGAAAGGCTTCCTGTACAAGTTGGGGTGTAAGCATAGTCTCGGAGAAGACAAGGAAAGCAGCGGGGACAGATGGCTGTTTGAGTAGCCTCGGGAGGTGGATTAGACTCCTCCCGGAAGCTATTTCCAACTCTTACTTATGATCCTGTGACACCTTGTTTCTGATGGGGGGCGGTGATTTTGATATGCTGGTTTACATCCTTTTCCCATAAGACTGCAGAGAAGCAACACGTCTGAAATTAGTCTTGCAGAATGTGGTGGTGCTTTTACAGCAGGGCCTCCCCGAGCACCATTCCAGCTATTTCAGTAAATATTGGTTAAGCAGTTATTGCTGCTAAGCACTGTGATGGAAGAACAAGCAGCGCTTTTCTCTAGGACCTTCTATTTTACTGGTTATGCATACTTAGTATGCAAATGGTCCTTGAATAGTATGTTCTACTCTGTGTTTGTTGGTGGTTATTTTTTACAGGCATTAGAATGCACAGTTTTAGCACTGTGGCTTGTATTTGTAAATATCTCCAGTAAAAATACAAGAATTGGGTTTTTAACATCCACATTTTTCTTCCATTCTAGGAACGTGCTGGCCGCCACTGTGGAGCCCTAAGAGTCTTGAACTCCTACTGGGTGGGTGAAGATTCAACCTACAAATTCTTTGAGGTTATTCTTATTGACCCATTCCATAAAGCTATCAGACGAAACCCCGACACTCAATGGATCACCAAACCAGTGCACAAACACAGAGAGATGCGAGGGCTTACCTCAGCTGGCCGGAAGAGCAGGGGTCTTGGAAAGGGTCACAAATTCCACCATACTATTGGAGGGTCTCGCCGTGCTGCTTGGAGACGGCGAAATACTCTCCAACTACATAGATACCGCTAATTGGTGCACATTAATTTGTAAACTTCAGTGTTTAATAAACAACATTTATGATGATGTTTTGTTGTCTGCAGTATGTCCAAAATGTAGGTATTGTAAAGGGGTTGCCAGGTAATAAAAGTGCAGTAATTGTGGAAAACTTAAAACCTTGGGGCCAAATCTTTGAAGAATACTAATCACTCTTTATGCAGATTTAACAGATGAGTGTGTGCAACCTAAACTTGAGATACTTATGGCAACATATTGCCATGCTAATTTAATTTATGACTCTAAATTGAAATTGAGTCTGTAACAAGGGATCCCACCAAAGGGTAAAGGAAAGGATCAGAAATGTAATGTTGGAGGGAATAATAAAATGGTGTACTCCCATTCTGGTTTTATTATTTGAATGGATTTTTTTTTCTGAATAGAAGGTCATCTCAGAATTGGCATTGGAAGTTAAGTTTTTGTGATTATAGAAAAGAGCATAGTGAGAGCTGGCCTTGAGTAAAAGACCCAGGTTCAAGTCGTCAGAGAAGCATAGAGCAGATGATGCATTTCGATGGTGAGAGCTCCTCACTGGGAGAGACCTACATGGAAATGACAGGGTCCAAGAGATTAATTCCAGGATACTTAGGGTCAAGTAATTAAGGCGATGTTTAGGTAGCTTAAGGTGATGTTTAGGTAGTAACTGATTTTTAAATAGCTGCATTCAAGGTTGTTCTGTGTGAAGTCATTTGCTGAGTGGTAGGTGGCCAGATGTTCCACAGGGGTGTTGTAAATCCTGCCCTAGAATATGACTACTGTGGGCTTCCATAGAATAGCTTCTTAGGTAAACCCAAGTTTTCAAAACCTTTGATAATCAGTGTTTTCGTTATATATACCTTGGGGGAAGGGGAACCTGCAAAAAAAATGAGAGGATTTAATTCATATATGCTTGTGGAATTCATCCATTGTTTAGAAATGATAGGTACTGAATATAAAATGGGGTATGTACTCCAATCAAGTTTGTTTGGAAGAGATCCCTGGATGAAAATGTATTGTCTGCCTATAGATTAGTTGGCCTAGATGATTGGAAGGAAGGGCTCATAATGCAAAAATATTTCTAAAATTAAGCTTTTATTTTAATTTTCGCTGCCACACTGTCCACTGAAAATGGAAAAGAATGTCCCTGTAACATGCATGATCAAGTAAAACAACCCCATGTTGGTTCATGTCGTGCATACAGCATCACCTCATGAGGGCATAGCATTCTTCCTAGGTACTCTGGAATGGTAGATGGTAATTGGTCCCTCTGTTGGTCAGTGTTAAATTTTCAAAGTTGTTCATAAATATCTTTTCCGTCCTGTGGCATAGTAGTATTCTGTTTACAAATTTGTGTTGGTTTTTTTTTTCCTTTTTTCTTTTATTATTGAAGTTTTCAACGTTCACTTCCACAAGATTTTGAGTTCTGTTTACAGATTTGTTCACCATTCTCCACTTGGTGGGTACCTTATTTTCCAGTTATTTGCCACCATAGAAAAACTTCCATAAACCTTTTTTTACATGAGTTTCTCCTTTGATATCATTGAGATACCTCCTAATGGCATTTCTGGGTCAGATTATGCACAATTTAGTAACTGGGCATAGTTAGATTTTCTCAAATGGCTGGATACATTCACAGCTCTACCAGTTACAGTAATGTGCCTATTTTCTCCCATCCTGTCCAATGTTTGGCATTTGCCTTTTTTGGTCAACTGATTATAGCTATTGAAAGATTCCGGAGTTCAACCTACTCCAGGTGTGTAGTTTCACTGATACTTTTAAAGCTATCAAGCATGTCTCTGGCAGATTAGCCAGAAGCAAAAATGTAATTCCACTTAAATTAACTAGCATAGATTTGTTGAGTAGACAAAAAGTGTTTTAACCCTGATGCTTGGATTATTCCTTTTAAGAGCATTCCTTTAAGAGCTCTATGAAAGTCCTATTCCAATACGTCATTGTGTCGTGGAGATGAGCCTCAGTCCTCTAAAGCTATTCAGCAGAACGTAAGGTTTTTCCAAGTTTGAAAGGTTTCAATGACAGTCTCTTGAGAAGCAAAACACTAGTTGGCTATCAGATTGTTGGTTGATCTGGCTGGGGATAAGGAATGGGGATATCATGGCTGGTCATGAAAAAATACAGCATATACAAATATTAAATCGGTGTAGCGGTTGGCTTTTTAAAGGGTCTTGTGGGGCTTCTCTTCATGCTGCAGTTCCTGTGCTTGTTAATGACAGGGGTGACCTTCACACAGTTGCAGACCTTTGGGCTGGCATCCTTTACTGCTTGGGTATTGATCAGCCTCACTTGGCTGTTGCCTTGAGATTGCAGAGATGGCAGATACCTGGAATTGATTCAGCCAGCCCTGTTCTTAATCTATTCACAAAGAGGCTTCAACTGCCTACAGACATCTCGACTGACAATAGTATAAGGATTTACCTTCAACTGACCCCTGCAAGGATATGCCAAATGGGTCAGTTTTCTTGCCCAGGACCCCTTTTACAAGTTTGTTTTTTATGATTGACTACTCAACCTCGACCTGTGTAATTTCAGTAAGCAATGGGTTAATTAGTTTTTAACAAATTTGATCTAAATTTACCAATTTACAAATTAAATTTGATAGGCGTGTCCTGCTCTACCACCAAAAAATGTCTTTTCTTAATGGGCCTTGTATTTTAATTTTATATTTAAAGGATTCAATAAAAAAGACATGAAAAAGCAATTAAAGAAACCAATGGATCTTCAACTGGATGAATGCAACAAACATTAAGTACCTAATATGTGTGCAGAATAGCTAGGTTCTGGGAATACAAAGATAAACTGACAGCCTCTGCTCTCAAAGCGGAGGAGATAGCACCAGCTCACAGTTAAGAACTGTACAGTTTGTCTCACCCTCACAACAGCCCAGTGAAGCAGATGCTATTGTTATGTATAAGGAAACAGGCTCATACAGCTAGTAAGGGTCTGAGGCTGGATTTGAACCAGGTCTTTCTAACTCCAAACTTTGCTCTATATTTAGCAGCTTTTTTTTCTTTAAAAATTTTTTTTTTTTTAGTTTTCAACATTCACTTTTATAAGATTTTGAATTCCAAATTTTTTCTCCTTCCCTCCCCCCTCCCCAGGATAACAAGCAATCTGATATAGGCTATACATGTACAATCATACTAAACATATTACCATATTAGTCATGTTGTGAAAGAAGAATCAGAACAAAAGGGAAAAACTATGAGAAAGAAAAAACAAAAGAAAAAAACAATATGCTTCTGGATGTGGACATCATGAGTCTTTTGGAATTGTCTCAGATCATTGCATTGCTGAGAAGAGCTAAGTATATCAAAGTTGATCATTGCACAGTGTTGCTGTTACTGTGCACAATGTTCTCCTTGTTCTGCTCACTTCACTCAGCATCAGTCCATACAAGTTTTTTCAGGTTTTTCTGAAGTTTGACTGCTCATCATTTTTTTTTTTTTGGCAGTTGGGGTTAAGTGACTTGCCCAGGGTCACACAGCTAGTAAGTGTCAAGTGTTTAGTCTGAGGCCAGATTTGAACTCAGGTTCTACTGACTCTAGGGCCGGTGCTCTATCTACTGTGCCACCTAGCTGCCCCTGCTCATCATTTCTTATAGCACAACAGTATTCCATTATATTCATATACCACAACTTGTTCAGCCATTCCCCAATTGATGGGCATCCCCTCAATTTCCAATTCTTGGCCACAAAAAGAGCTGCCATAAATATTTTGTATATGTGGGTCCTTTTCACTTTTCTTTGATCTCTTTGGGCTGCAGACCTAGTTTTATAGCTCTTTGGGCATGGTTCCAAATTGCTCTCCAGAATGGTTGGATCAGTTCACAACTCCATCAACAATATGTTAGTGTTCCAATTTTCCCACATCTCCAACATTTATCATTTTCCTTTTGTCATATTAGCCAGTCTTATAGGTGTGAGGTGGTACCTCAGAGTTGTTTTAATTTGTATCTCTCTAATCAATAGTGATTTAGAGCATTTTTTCACGTCACTATAGATAGCTTTAATTTCTTCATTTGAAAACTGTTCATATCCTTCAACCATGTATCAATTGGGAAACAACTTGTATTCTTATAAACTTGACTCAGTTTTCTATATATTTTAGAAATGAGGCCTTTATCAGAAACACTGTCAGCAAGTGGAAGCTAACTCTATGAGACACTGAGAAACAATTAGGGGCAGCTAGGTGGCTCAGCGCAGGGCACTGGCCCTGAAGTCAGGAAGACCTGAGTTCAAATGCAGCCTCAGACCAAACATTTGACACTTAACCAGCTGTGTGACCCTGGGCAAGTCACTTAACCCCAATTACCCCCCAAAAAAGAAATAACTAAGCAAAGTGAAGGAAAAAAAATTTTTTAATGTGAAATAACTCATTGGAAAAACAACTGACCTGGAAAATAGATCAAGGAGAGATATTTAAGAATTCTTGGTTTACTTGAAAGCTATGATCAAAAGAGATTAGATATCATTTCAAGAAATTATCAAAGAAAACTGATATGATATACCAGAAAGAGAAGGTAAAACAGAAATTGAAAGAATCCATCCTTCTCCACCTAAAAGAGATCCCAAACTGAAAACTCCCAGGAATATTATAGCCAAATTCCACAGCCCCCAGGTAAAAGAGAAAATACTTCAAGCAGCCAGAAAGCAACCATTCAAATATAATGGAGTCAGAGCCAGGATCACAAAAGATCTAGCAGCTACCACATTAAAGAAGTGGAGGGCTTAGAATGAGATATTCTGGAAGGCAAAAGAACTGAGATTACAACCAAGAATAACACACCAGTAAAACTAATCCTTTAAGGGAAAAATCAAATATTTGATGAAATCAAGGGCTTTCCTGCACTCCTGACGAGAAGACCAGAGCTGAATAGAAAATCTGACTTCCAAATACAAGATTCAAGAGAAACATAAAAGTAAACATAAAAGAGAAATCATAAGGGACTCAATAAGGTTAAACTGTATCTTTCTATATGGGAAGATGATACATGTATCTTCTAAGAACTTTATCATTATTAGGACAATTGGAAG